AAGAAAGAACAAATTACTCTAATTTCAATAATATATCTTTATTGCTGAAAGTACATGTAACTACAGAATTTTGGAAACCAATGCTTATTAGTGAGTTCATTGAGGCAAAGACTCCAGGAACATTTTGAACCATTATTCGCAGGTGTCTAAGTACCACTTAGATCTGTGTTTTTCAATCTTGGCAACTTGAAGATCTGCGGACTTCAACTCCCAGAAGTCCCCAGCAAGTATCTGCAGATATTCAAGTTGCCAAGGTTGAGAAGGCCTGAACCAGGTTACTGTCAATTATGAGACCAGAGTTCCTCTTCCCCTTTCTATTTCTTGGTTGTTAATTCCTTCCATTACCTTCCAGGCTTCTTCATAGTCTCTCACAGCATCTAGTTACAGATAAGAAAGACACTAAATTAAAATTAATTCCAAATTATGGACAATTGTAGTCTACAAAGTCAAGGAATGTTTGGTATTTCAAGAGAAAGTCCTTGCAATATATCTATAAATATAGCATATCTTCTTATTGTTATTACAGTGTTCAGCTACATTTCTATCAAGACAGAACCAAATCAATTCTAGAAATACTCAGGAGTATCAAGTTTCATGTTTTTGAATCAAAAGAAGCTGAATGATTAAAATTGTACAAATTATAATTAATTTAGAATGCAGAACTCAGTATATTATATCTGCTGTATATATTCAAACCTTCTACTAATCCCTTCACACCAGCTTGCAACCCACTTGGATTCTCCTCACTAGTATGAGAGATGATAGGTGCTTTTTCAAGGCCAAAACTCTTCTGCTGCCTAGTAAGTACATTACTTGTTTTTAGGACTGTTGTCTAGCTAATTATAAGACAGTACAGTAGCATGTTGCAGGTGTTGTCCAGAAGGATTTGCTTATCAAAGTGGTGACAGTGGTAAGATCATGGTTCATGCTTTCCATATTTGCTGTCCATTAGTTACATTGGCATAAACAGCTGCCCATCAATCTCACCTTGCTCAGACAAATCTGGTGCATTTATTCTAATGCATTAGCCTATAGGGTGATAGGCTTTTATTTCTTGAAAACATTCTTAAAAGCATGAATCTCTAAAAATCCCAATATTTAAACCAAAGTCACTTATTTGCGAACTTTCTGCCTCATCATTTTCTTAAAGCTTTTACGTCCTTTAAACTAGACTCAAAGTCATATATAAATTATTATTCCTTTAACTTTTGAGTTTGTTAAAGATAACATTCTTGAAAATGGTATTTTTGTATGTGATGGAAAGACAGCTTAATGGATTTTTTTTTTCAGTTTTGGGTTCTGTTTTTGCTGACAGTGTTGAAGCAAGAGAAAGCATAAGTAATGCTTCCTCATTGATGTGCCAATGAAACTTGGTTTCGGTACATTGAGCTTTTGGTTATTATTAGAAAGTCATAATGCTAAGGCATATTTATGGTTTCTTGGATGTACCTTTTAATGGGTTTAAGCAATAAAGCACAAAGAGATGGATACACTTCACTACCCTGTCCATTTTGCTGCATGATTTTTCTATTCTTTTTGTGTATGTGTTCTTTTTTTGCAAAGGTCTTAGTGGAATTTTCTGAGGGTGGAAAACTGTCTTTTGTTATCCTTTTAAAGTTTATATTGATAAATGTTATCAAGAGTTACAGCAATATCTTTTGTAGTATTGTTAGAATTTGGGGGAGGGGATTGTAGAATAGTGGCTTTAATGTTGTGTTTAAGTATTACTTTTATTTATTTTGTTTTGTTTATTTATATATCAAATTTGAGACTGCCCATCTCATTCACAGAGTGACACTGAGCAATGTACAATTAAAACATATAAATTATATAAATATTATAGTCCAACTGGGGCAGTTAAAACAGGAAAAAATAAATTAAAATAATTATTTTTTGTTGAACAAAGTAGAAGTTGAGAATAATTTTAGAGGGCTTTCTCCAAAACAGCTTTCTCTATGCTAATACCTTCTAGATAGATGCACTCCCAGAATTTTTGGTCATACCAAGATCAAGTTCAAGCTGTCTTAGCTGAGAATTTCAGGAATTATAGTCTCAACATATATGGAGTGAACCAGGATGGGAAAGAAATTAATATCATATATCATATCACATCACATATCACATGTCATATCATATGAAATATAACTCTTTTGAGACACTTTCTGTATTTTTAAATGTATAAACTTTTATTATTAACTGAAACATAAAGCTACCAGCACGGGTTTTTGATCTTCTATGCTTCTTATCATCCTACTCAGTTGAAATGATAATCAATTGTATTATAAAGTTCCAAAATAATTGTATCCAGTATGAATCTTAGTATATTTTGTATGATATTATTGAAGATTCATAGAATCTGGGTTTTTTTTCCCCATGTTCTAAAACTGAGCTGGTATATTTGGAGACAAAGCCCACAAAGGAAGGCAAACTGATAATCATAAGATAATGGAAAGTTCTACCTTGTCAGACCACAAGGAGGTAGATCAAGACTCTTGAGATCTACCATTTTTGGGGATACTCCATCCTTGCTCTTGCTGTATCCCATCATCATCAACATCAAAGCTGCAATGAGGTGCAGTAACACTTTAAATGCACCATTCAAATGGTTCCCCTTACAGATGAGACTATCTTCCTTCCATGACCCTACTGCATACTTCCATGCAGATCTCCCATCCTTTATCCTCATATGACTCCCTTCCATGTCTCTCACCTCCCAGCATGTAGATTGCAAATTGCAGTAGGAGAAAGCAACCTGAGGAATCAGAATGGTTGGAAGTCTTGGTGGTTTGTTATATGGCAGAACTTGTTATTATATCTTTAATCCAGTCTTTCCTGAACAACATTCCTTCCCTTCCCTTGCTGGGATTAGCAGTGTAATTCTTCCCCACCCCCATCTTTGTGTGACCTCTCCCTGTATTGTTTGCCTGGCTTTTTGCTACTTGATTCCTTAGCTGAAAGAAGAATGGTTGCAAAGATTCTGATTTGGAGTCTGCAGGATACAAACCTTCAGTTTGCAATGGACTTATCTTATTCTGACTCTTAACTCAAGACTAGAAGTAAAATTCAGTCTAATTCTAAATATTTTGTTACTCTACAGGGAGATGTTAGAATAGTCTTTCTGTTGCAAAAGACCATGGATTAAACAATGTTACATGCATTATGGCACACACAAATTCAAAATATCCCTTCTGGGTGCTCAATCCAGATCAGGACTAGGTTGTGAAAGATGTAATTTGAAGCCATTCCTCCCTTTTCAATATCCAATTAAAAGAGAATTGGGTGGCCAGAGTCACAGAATTCCTAGCAGCTCCTATTAAAATGAGCCACACGGTGTGCCTTTGGTTTACTTTGCTATATTTTAAAAGTTTGATCAACATATTCTATTTTTATGTATTTAGTACATATTACTTAAATATTTTGGTGAGCAAATATATATACATGAGAGACAGTTTTATGTAGTGGCTAAACATCAAGCTAGAAACCAGGAGACGTGAGTCCCACCTTAGGCACAAAGCCAGCTGGATGACCTTGGGCCAGTTTCTTTTTCTCAGCCCTAGGAAGCAGGCAATGGCAAATCACTTCTGAAAAATATTACCAAGAAAACAGGGACTTATCCAGGCAGTCTCCGAGAATCAAATACTATTGAACAGAAGAGTACACATACACACTTACAAACATACGCACACACCTACTGTATATTTATTGGAATCAATGATATTAATGCAAATAAATTTTAGTGTAATCTGATCTGACCCTGCCATAGTCCCAACAAACACTATTCTCTTAGTAACAGGCTTCTCCTTGATGCAGGGATGTCAAACTGCCGCCCCGCAGGCCGGATGCGTCATCCGGAAGCCGTGCCCACCCCACTGCCGGCAATGGCAAAACTGTTCTGATACGTCTCGCAACGTCACGTGACATCGCAAAGTTTGACATGTCTGCCTTGATGCAACGTGTAAAACCTTTGAGAATTTTAATTGTGCCCATTATGATCCCATTATGACAGCTTTAATAGCTGTTGTAGCAGCTATTTTCAGTTAAGCAGAGTAATGCATTCTATGTAAATATTGGTTTATGATATTTAAATTAAGAGAATAAATTATAATATAGGATAACAGTGCTAGTTTTCTAAATGGGAGATAATGGAAGCATGTTGGTTATAATTTAACTTTTATATACAGAGATGCACACATCAAAAAAGGAAATATAAATTGTTCTTGGTTTCTATTCCCTTGAAGGTTTGAATGTCAAAAGCTATTATGAGAATTAGAGAACTGTGCTAAATATACAGAATGGATGCCCCAGAGCTATATTTTATTGGGATTCAAACTCCTACTTTAATAAAAAATCATGTTTGTATTCTGTTCCAAGGATGAATTATGTTATTTTTTCTGATGCTGGTGTATTAATCTGGCCAATTAATGGGGAAAACAAACAACAAAGCAAATGCTCTGTTTTATTCTCATAAATTATTGTCAGTCTTGTGAGCTAGTCTAGGCACAAAACACACAAAGCATTAGTTTTATCTTTACTGTAAGGTTTCAGTAGAAGAATTTTGTGAGTCTTAAAGTACAGTACATCTCTCTCCTCCCCCTTCCTGGTCTTGACAGTCCAAGAAACCAGGGAGGCTCCCTTCTGAGATGTTTGGCAGAGCCCTATTTCTTCTGTGGACTTTGCTGCCGTTGCCCAACCATACTTTGGTCTGTGTCTCTTCCTCCTGTCTTCCAAGGTCATCCCCACATACCATTATATAACTATATAGCATATTTCTCAAATGATAGACAAAGAAACAAGCTTCAGAGGTTTTTGCTGTTTACAACCTTAAAGAGGTTTCATAGGAATCTTGTCTCCTTTAACTGAACTGAGGGGAAAGTATAGTATTTAATTTTAATCATAAATGTGTGCATATTTAGTATCAGATTTGTGGGTGTGGGAATTCTGTATAATTATGGAAACACTGAAATTTCATGTCAGAAAAGGTAATCAGGAGGAATATCAAGATGGAAAAGACCATGAAAGTAGAAACTATGCAGGACAAAGTGAGATGAAATGGAAAGAGAGGTGAATTACAAGGCTTGTTCGATTAAAGAGGGTATTTTAAATGATTTTCCTGGATTTGTATTTCTATTGTATTTCTAGTGGGCAAACTCTTAATTTGTTCTAAAAAATAACTCTATTGCAATCAGTGAGGATTTGATCTAAACTTCCTATCATCTTATTATTATCAGACTGTCAATATAGTTTGTTCAGTTGACAGAGGGTGTTCTGCAAATAGAAG